AATTTAAGGGGTCAGTTAAACTTAAAAATTCATGCTATACGTACAACCAAAAAAAGATTCTGTATTTCCATAAGTGGTGTAAAACTATGGAATAATTTAAATGTGGACATAAAAAACAGTACTAGAATTGATGACTTCAAACATAAGTATGAAGGTATGTTTCAATCAAGATACATGCAAGAACAGGTTTAATGATTAATCAGATGGAACATTGTGGGTGTGGGGTAAGAATGTTAGCACTCTGTAATAATTCTTTAGTATATTACTTGCGTGGCGTAAAAGATAATTGTCTATGAATGTAATTATGTAGAATGTTAACACTGTAATAATTCTGTAGTATATTACTTGTGTGGTGTAGAGGATAATTGTTTATGTAGAGATACTGCTTAGGATTTAAAAGTTGTAAAATGATGTCATGGGGTAGGACTAGATAAGTCTAACTTCTTCCTACTCCGTTCAAGCATGTACTAGGTATAAGTAAATTGATATTGGATTATTATTGTTGGATATGTGTGAAATTACATGTGTTGACATATCAACTGTTTTACATGCTTGAATGAATAAATCAAATCAAATGCCACACTGTGCAAACGAGTGGCTTTTCAAAATCACTTCAGTGTGTCACCAGCAGGGGGCCAACCACAACCACATATTACATGTAGCCAACAGCAATGACACCATAAAGCTGAGTGAGCCTGATATTTTGTCTTATTATCTCCTCTTTGTAATATTTTTACTGGCGTTTGGTTGTTGGTTGATTTGTTCACAGCATAAGTCAATAAGTAATGGATGGATTTTGATTAAATGGTTTAGAGGGGTGGGGTAGGGCCCACGGAACAATCCATTAGCTTCTGGTGCTGATCCGGATCATCATACAGATCCAGGAATTTTTTTATATGACTCTTCACCATTATGAAATACAGCCAATTTCAATATTTTTGCTTCACACACCATGCATAATGCCTCTCACAGTCCACACAAACATGCAGGTTGAACATCCACCTAATGACTGTAAGATGAACACTGGGACTTTGTTTTGAGTTCTCACAGCAGTGGAAAGTGAATCTCAGTGTCAAGGCTTGTACCAGCCAGAGAACGTGATGTCACTGATCACACGTGAAGCTTCCTTTGGGATTACTGGTTCAGGTAGTCTGTTGAAGTTTGAGGGATGTTTGAGACAGAAGGAGCAGCAGTGGGGATCGCAAAGTCTGTCATATTAGAGATCGGTTCAGTTGTTTGCATATTGTCATGGAATCAAAACCACAAAGGAAGTTTTCTTCAATAAGGAAGACTTCAACAAGTCAGACATGACATCAGTGGGTTGTCTGCTGGTGCGAGCAGCATGTACAACGATGGGTATGGGCTGCATAATGAGAGAAAATGGTGTAAAAACAGAACTGTACACGGTTGAATACTGGTATTCAGTTACACCTATATGTACTCAGTAATTTTTAATGGCACATGTTACGTGTAGACTTGGTTCTGTAAAAATTTACATGGTTGTGTGTAAAGAGGACGAGAGTTACTCATAGCAGGAAGGCAGAAATACAACAGGGGCAACAAAACCGTGGTTCACTAGGTCACAGAGGGACACAGAGTGTGTGCACGAGGTAAGATCAAAGGCCAAAACCAGGAGTCAGAGTACAGGGCATTAGACAGTCATTATCATTTATACAGCTGCCAAATACTGCTTTACTTAAAACCTCTAACATGACATACAGTCAGGGAAAAAATTATTTGAACCCCAGCTGATTTTGTAAGTTTGCCCACAAAACAAAGAAATGATCAGTCTACAATGTCAATGGTAGGTTTATGTGAACAGTGAGAGACACAACAATAACAAAAAAATCCAGAAAAATGCATTACAAAAAAAGTTATAAAGTAATTTGCATTTTCATGAATGAAATAAGTATTTGATCCCTTTGCAAAACGTGCTTTAGTACTTGGTTGCAAAACCTTTGTCGGCAATCACAGAGGTCAGACGTTTCTTGTAGTTGGCCACAAGGTTTGCACACATCTCAGGGGGAATTTTGGCCTACTTCTCTTTGCAGATCCTCTCCAAGTCATTGTTTTGTGGCTGATGTTTGGCAACTCGAACCTTCAGATCCCTCCACAGATTTTCTATGGTATTAAGGTCTGGAGACTGACTAGGCCACTCCATGACCTTAATATGCTTCTTCTTGAGCCAATCCTTTGTTGCCTTGGCCGTGTGTTTTGGATCATTGTCATACTGGAATACCCAACCA